AGATAAATATGAGCATGGACATCTATGAGTAGGATCAGATTGACCAGTCATAATGGAAAGTGAACTGTGATTAAATAAATTACAACAATATCTATGAATACTTTGTAACTTTGAAGAAAAATAACATGACAATCAATGTTATCATTATCCTACTCAGTATCTCCTAAAATCTGAACCATTCAGAAGTTAAATTGTGAGGAAAATGCATAAGATCACGTAAGAAATGAATATTTCATTAATTTAGTCGAAACAGGAAACAATGTTAAAATACAGCTTACCCAACAGGTTTCATCAAAAGCCTGGCCTTCTCAAACTCTGGTTCTTGAAAAGCTGAGTCAGACATGATCAAATCAAGGTCAGTGCTCCTAAAGAATTGAGAAAGAAAGTATGTAAAAGTACTTTAAAATACTAATCTTAAAAGAACAATTTGTCACAATTAAAAAATGTTAATCCAACAACCTTTATTGGTATTAAACTAACTAAAGAGAATGGATAATACCCGCACCCAAAGGAATAGAACCCTACGACATCTTTGTTTGATACCTAAAGAAAAGGAAAAAAAAAAATGACACACTCCAACCATCAACCACACATGAATGGGCTGATCCAGAATCATACATTTAAATATGGAGAAATGTATGTATGCACATGGCGATGTAAGTAATACAATTCAAAGTCACGGGAGAACTAGGAACATGTTTGACAACAGTCATTGATCATAATCACAAAACCGTTAGTTTGCAGCTTTCATTTAACCCTTTGAGCCCAGACCTCCTGTGGGTACCATGCCACTCTGTCTGAGATCCTGAGCACATTTATATCATCATCAGAATCACATTCCATATCCCACTTTGGGTGGTCCTCATCATTACCAGAATCTAATTCATAGAGATCTTCGAAATAATCAATAACGTTCTGTGTAGCATACACTGTTTTCCATGCATGTTTCGTCCCAGATTGGCTGGCTTGGGGATATGATCTCGCTAACTGGTGTATTGGCAGTTAGGCATACAGACAATTTTATGCACCACCAGTATACTTGTGGCTAGGGCTCAAAGGGTTAAGATATCAAGACATGAACAGTCAGGCTTATGATCACAGTGAGAAAAGATCCCATGTCCCTTGTACTATTTCACTTCCAGTAAGTAATACTGAGATCATCAGTAGAAACATCCCAACAGAATACCTCTTGACTTCCCCATTCTCAGCCTTCAGCAGAGCCACGTTGGAGTTGATGCTTCTCACTAACATCTGGATGTGGTCCAGCAGCTCACTCTTGAGAGATAAAGTCAAAACAAAAAGTTTAAAAGTTTTTATATTCAGAGTTTTCCCACAGTGCTCAGGGTAAAAGAGGCTACGACTGAGAGTCTGATTCTTTAAAAAGTTGATCAAGTCTAATCCTAAATAGAACATGAGGCCCTATATGATGAGCACAAAGCATTATACCCAGGAACCAAACAAAAAATGTTCATGACTATGGGTCATTTGTCCCCATATTATTGAAAAGAATGTCTGGAAACCATCCCAATAAAGACTGACCTGTCTAAGAGTTTCAGGAAGCAAATTACAAGGACAAAATTCAATCCACTGTGGAAGACAATCATTCTTCTATGTTTTGTGCCATAATTGTACAATTTAAAAAATCAGCCATGAAATGAGAATAGTTCACTGGAAACCCACCCACCCACCCACGCGCACACACACAACACACACACACACACACACACACACACACACACACACATACACGCACAGGGTTCCATCACCTGGCCCCTTCATCTGATGTAGTTGTTCTCTTGTAAATTATTTCAATTGAATGCTTGACCAAACTTGATAAGAAAGTAATGGTTTAGTGAGAACATACCGGTGCTTGGGTCTGTGATGTGAACACAATGTTGTTGACCCATCCCTGTGCACAGTGGGCAGTGACCGCTGGTAAAGTCATACTAAGGGAAAAGATTTAGCAGATTTACAACAGAGTATAATAATCATACAATATAATAATAATAATAATAATAATAATAATAATAATAATAATAATAATAATAACAATAGGGCCAAATTATTATCATAATGATAATAATAAAAAAGTAAAAAGGATGAAAATAAGGAAGAAAATAATGATGAGAATGATAATATTGTAGATCACTCTCATATCATCCTCCCCTGAGTGAAAAGTAATCTTATTACATTATATAAAATGCAAGTACAAAGTATTTTATAAATGAACAATATGGTGTATAATATGGTGTAAAAATTAATCTGCGCTCATATGCACCCAAAGAAGATATGAAAGCACACATTCAAACACAAATACACACATACTCAATCACGCATTCACAAACACACACACCCATACACACACACCCATACTCACACATACATGCATGTTTACACACACACTCACACACACACACACACACACACACACACACACACACACACACACACACACACACACACACACACATTATCTCTCATCACACATGCACAATACTCAAAGTCATGAAGTGAGCACCAACAAATACATAATATAACATGCAAAGTGCGATTCGTAGGTTACCAAAAATACATATCAGACAAAGAGGGTTTTTTTTTGTATTTTACAGCGCTTGCAACTGCATAAGGTCATAAAAGTCCACAGGACACAAAAAACATTTTCAGCTCGTAGGAAATTTTGAATTTTGCCCGGGTGGCAGCTGAAGCCTACTCTTATCGATTTAGGACCATCAAGGGATTGTAACGTGCGTAACTTGCACGCGGGACCTCCGACATTTTTTGCCTTTATCCGAGAATGCTGGGTAATATATCTTACCTACTATGAGATCAGGGGTGTGGCTGAAAGACAGAAGTAAGAAGGGGCCAAGGAGTAGCAGTAGAAAGGCTGCAAAAAGAGTCAGGAGCCCAGTGGAGGGGAGCTAAGGAGGTGAGGGGGTGTGGCAGAGAGTGGAGACCAAAGCAGACAACAGAACATTGTTAAAGAGCAGGAAAAGATGTGAAAGGAGAACATTTTAGAGAAGAAATTTTTCTGTCGCAATCTGGATTTGAACCCAAGACCAGCTGAATGAGAGGCAAACACCATAACCTCTTGACCACGGGAGACCCAGATAAACAGTCATTTACATAATCGTAATGTGTACTAAAAATAAAGCCACTGAATCAGAAATGATTTTATGTCAGTGACTGATCAAATATACATTTTCACCGACTTTTAGAGTTCTCAGGGTACTTTGAAAACTGAAATGATAAGTTAGTGGGTGAAGAACAGAGCTGTTAAAGTACTTTTAAAAAGGTACTTAAGTACAAATTTAAGTACAATCTAAAATATTGTACTTAAGTACAGTAAAAGTACTTTCCTGTAAAATGTACTTGAGTACAAGTACTTTTTAAAAAAGTACTTATGGGTACATTTTGAGTACTTTCTGCTAATATGCTAAAACACTTCAGTGCTAATGCAAAACATCATATTGAACAACATATTTAGTATAATTGACAAATTCGGCCATTTATTACTAATAATGTAAACAGTATATAAAGCATTTGAATATACGCACTGAACGTAGGTGGAAATTGTCCGTGAAATAAAAAAAAAACCCCAGCAAACAAACAGACGCAACTAGTGAGTAAGTGATATTATAAATAGAACTTGTTTGAGCAAGACAATATGATCAAATGTAAGTCAGTCCTAGAGGTCGGAAAGTAGGAAAAGTATCAAAATTTGAAAAAATAGAGACAAAGTTGATCTAAGAAAATAAAAAATTGATGAAAATGGCCAGCAAAAAAAGTGCTTTGAATTCTTCTTTAACAAATCCTCAAGGAATCAAGGTAGCCTTAAGCACAAACCACAAAAAAGGAAAAAAGAAATTTAGGTAGCCTAAAAAATTGTTAGATTGATATACATTGAGAACTCAGTTTCAGTTTCAATTGATTATAATAGTGGTAAGACAGAGTTTGGTCCCACGGCAAACCAAAATAGGCCTACATGTAATATCCTAGAGTCTAGTAAGTGTAGTGTAACCAAAAATTCTCTACTACAGTAGTCTCCACCTAAGATCCCAGTGCTCGGGAGCAAGGGAAATATGGGATCTTAGCCTGACGAAGCTAAGGAAGAATCTACAGTGACCCAAGAACTGACGTGACCCCTGGGTATGTTTATGACATATGGCGAGCAAAGAGTGGTCATCCTTGATGACCAATCACAGTAGCATGGTGGCACGAGGCAAGCCATAATATTATACCGTACACTCATTAGCATATCGTCTCGAGATCTTTATCTACGTTTATCCAGTTGCCTCTCCCCTTTACCTGTCCAAAAATTGTAGCCTTCCATCTCTGATTGAGTCCCCCCCGCCTTTGTCGTTGTTGCACTGGGGTTGTTTGCCATTATTGTATTTAATAAAGCAAAAGTAAAAACTCCGTTTCTAGATGAAGAAGGGTAATTTAATGATGAAAATAATATGAGGTCTGCCCTCTCTGGCTTCACTGACAAGACTAAATAAATCATAATGAGCATGAGTACATGTGATTGAAACAGGAAGGAGGAGTGAGTAAAGACAATGATAGTACATAACAAGATGGGCCACTCAGCCAAAAAAGTGTCCGCAGGAAGTATGCTCTTTGCTTCAGATGGCGCTGCAGTCTGTTTTGAAGCTCTCTTTAGTTTTTCCAGAAGAAGAATAGGAATAGCACCTCCTTGCGAGCGCAGATCGACTGCTGTTCATCAGCAGTTCGGGTACGTTCAGTGCGGAGTTTTAGTTTTTTAAAATTTTAATGACCTCTCGCCTTTCACTCTAAAGTCAAATTAAACAAAGAAAACCATCACCCTTTCCTCCGGAAGAGGTTTTTTGTCAGCGTAACCATTTTAAAAAAGCATTCTTCCGAAATTTATCCCAAAACTTGCTAGTTTCACTTTGATTTTTAAAAACTCAAGTAGGGTAACTCTGTTCGCAAAGAGTGCGCTTTTGTGAAGAGGGCGCCACCAAATTTTGAGGACACTTTTTTAATTGGCTCAAAGAGAGAAGTGGCCCATCTTGTTATGTACTATCATTGGTAAAGATCACTAAGATCAGACAATCTTTGTTGTGAGGGTAGATAAATAAAAGTAGGGCCTACAATTACAGGGACATAATTCAACATGTTAATATAAGGACCAACAATCCAGGATTTATTGTTTCCCTTCTGTATATTGATAAAAGCAATCTAATAGTCTGACAGTCGTTACGCACCATTACGCTGTGACCACACCAATTAAAATTCAGGCTGTCTCGCAATTTCAGGAATAGAGAAAAACTGCCTTCAACTTCAATGGTCAGGGAAGAGTTCACAGTTCGATGTGATCCTGCCTGGAGCGAACTTGTAGGCCCAACCCACCCAGCGAGGGATGAAAGTTCAGGTGGCGAGCTCAGATGCGAGTGCGATGTTTGGGGAAAAGAAACGCCCATCGGTCTGTTCACACCTTGGTGTGATCCCGTCTGGGGATCATTGTACCGTTTCATGGAGTATTACAGCGCATGTGATCACTTTCCCAAGAGTGGCTGATCTTTGACGCGACGGGCAGTTCTTTAATCTCAACTTTTAACTCTTGGTTGATCGGCTGTGCCCGCCCGGGTGTTTGTTCCGTAAATTATGATCGGAAATGTCGGCACTTATTCTTTCATTAAGCTTCAAAAGTACTCAAAATGTACTTGAAAAGTACTCAAAAGTACTTTTATAAAAAGTATCGGAGTACAGTAAAAGTACTGGTTCTCAAAATGTACCGGAGTACAGTAAAGGTACCGAAAATTGTAACGTAAGTACAAGTACCCCGGTACTTGTACTCCGTTACAACCAGCTCTGGTGAAGAATCTATTTTGACTGACTGCTCATCTAATATCTACATCCCATTCCCTAACACTGTGGAACACATATTATAGTCAGCACCTGGCAGATTTTGCTAGAAACAAAATTCATACTTACTTGTGAACCATGAAAGTGTTGAGGGGATCGATACAGACAGTAACAGCACCGACGATGAACTCTGACCTCACATTGGGGTTGGGGTGAGTCTGCAGGGCACCCACCACAGCAGACGTGTCACAAAATCTGATGTTTCATCGAAAGAAAGGAAATTGTACAAGCTTCAAGTTGATACCAATAACTCCACTTGCCCAAATATTGAAGAAAGTGCCTGATTCCACCTCGTAATAACACAATTAGCAACATGATGTGCTGTGTGGGCAATGCACTTCAGAGTTAAATTTAGATAGCAAAGATAATTCGGTCAAAGACAACACATTCACACAAATAGGACAAAAAATCCGTGTTAGGATCTGGAAATAAAATGACTCCCTCTGAAAAATGACACAAGAAAATTTCTTTAATCTAAGGTGTAAACAAAAATTGTGCCCGTATACTGTTGAGAGACTCTCATGCACAGAGTGATAAAAAAATCCTGCTAATGCAGGAACATGATACAATCTTCTCAATTTTCAAAGCATAAACACTCAAAGTGGCCTAAGACTGCGAAACATGAAAATAGTTTCCAATATATTTAACAAATATATAAAACAACGTACAAGGCATTACTACAGTCTGTATCTTCGTCGTAAGATTGTAATAAAATCATTATGGGAAAGTTTATGAAACACAAGCAGCTACTGATGACCCTATTAGTAGAAAAGTTTGGGAAGCATTAACTCCTTATCTTCGGCAAGCTGCCCTGTTGGAACCATCGTGTCTGTGAGCCTTTGGCAGCGGCTCGGCCAAATTCCTTTACAAAACTTAGACGTCAAATTATTTTTCAGCATTCCAAAAACAGGTCTCTTTAACCGGGAGTTCATTCAATAGATTTAAAAACTATCGTAATAGGTTCACTTGTTTTAATTTAATGATTAATTTAGTGACATGTATATCGATTTTAGATAGCGTACCAAAAGAGGGCCCTGACAGAGTGGATTTACCCCACCTTAGAGAAATTTCAGGCTTTTTCCTCCCAGAATGGTCCCAGCTCTATGCCAGTCGATGCCTTGTTCCTGTTCTCCTGGTTCAAGGCAAGTCTTCCTTTTTTATCCTCAGACAGCAGACTTAAATAAGTTTCCGTCACAGCAAGTTTGATTCTAGACTCATACACAAAGCCAAGAAAGGAATGCTATTTCACAGAATAGAATTTATCATCAACGGAATGTGACCGAGTGGAGGATTCACATTATCATGGTATCATAAAAGTGACTACAGTTCAGAAACCACACACAGCATCAAACGCAGTCACATATTTCCAGTTCTTCGAAACATGATAACTGTCATCTCATTGTGCTCGCCAAATGTGAATGCATTCTGTAAAAACAGAGAGGAAAGTTTAAAATGAGTCACATACCCTGGGGCAATAAAGATCACTCTTGTGATCTTGGTGAGTTTCCACTGGTTACGTGACTCTACCGCTGAAGTCATGGAACGATACAGGAAGTTGCTGTCAACGCGACATTCTTCAGGCTGCTTGTATACAAGCCAGCTGAGGAAGATGAAGTGTTTGAAATTCATATTTTATGTATTCTTATTCAAAATGTATGAAACTAGAGGATCTAAAAACTTATTACAACTCATTCATGAACCTATTTATCTTGTGAATTTTCTATGAAAAATGTTAACACCTGTGACCAAAAAGTGTTTATAATGCATTACATGATATGAAAGCATGACATTGTCTGAAATTGAAAGAAGAAAATGGAAACATTAGCAGTACTTTCAAGTTAAAATGATTTGAGCGGTGGCTAATGAAAAAGTTATGTCAGGACCACAGTATCCTTGTTTTGACTCATCAACTCAATTTCTTCTTCAACAAGTCTATCATCATCAACCCTTTGAGCCCCTCTGCCTGACCTCCTGAGTGATTTACGCCTTCGTTCGTGTCTTTGTCAAAATCACATTCCATATCCCACTTAGGGTAATCCTTGTCATTACCAGCATCTAATTCAGAAAGACCTTCCAAATTACCAATAACGTCCTGAGTAGTAAACACTGTTTCCTGTGCCCATTTTGTCCTAGACAGGCCAGTTTGGGGATAGAGTTTTGCTAACTGCTGTACCAGTGGCTAGGAATACGGCAATTTTATGCACCCCACTCAAAGGGGTAAACCTTCATACTTCTGAATCACTTTCATTATCATCAACAAGACTTAAATCACTAAACTGCAGCAACATACTGAATAGTAATAGAATGTGTTAATCCACATTCTGACAAATGGTCGTAATGATGTTCTTAGCAAACAGAAAGCAAAGAGTCAAATTTAAAATTGTCAACTCATGATCTGTCGAAGGAAAGTTTGCTGGTTCCAAGACTCAAGAAGTAGGTAAACAAAACCAGCACAAGCAGTAACCGAGGTAAATCTTTGAAAGAACTGAGAGTGGAAAACTTCACAAAAGTGAACACGTGTAGCAAAACGTTGACTATGTCGTACCGTTCGTATGTCATAACACACTGCCTGCAGTAAACTATAAGTCACTCATAAAGCAATCAGGGCTTGTTGATACTAAAATTCTACGAGATCTCACTTGATGACATTCTTGTTGTAAGTTGTCAACAAGGTGCCGAGCCTCTCTTTCTCACTGCCAGGGGTGCCAGTGATGATTGTCACAATGATCTGAGGAGCAATAAAATTTGATAAAGTTAAATAATAGCAGAAAAAAATTATTTCAATAATCTCACATAAGACATACAACGACAAACTTATTAGCTCGTTTGATTTTTGAGACATAAAGAGAAGAAGAATATTTCTAAAAGATTATTTAGAGACATTCTCTTGATGCAAATCGGTAAAAGGTAGTAGACGATTGGAGTTTCTTAATTTGTTGACTCAAGTCACAAAGGCCTTAAACTCGGTAGACATTTTGTTATTGCAATAAGAATCTTGATAAATCAAAAACCTAAAACATATCCAACCAATAAAAAAAATCTGACAGAAGCACTTTCTATGAGCAAAGCATTTAGTCACATCCTTCATTTCTGTTTGTAGATAATTTACCAAGGGATAGGTGTTTTATTGTTGATACTCTGTTGATACTCCTAACAAACAGTCGAACCTGCTCCAATGGCCACCTGTATAAGATAATCACCTGTGTAAATAGCCACTCCCAGTTCCCCCTCATGCTTTTTTTCTCACAATATAATGACACTGTCATTGCACTTTTCGTTTCAGCAATGGGTGGCTGTTTTTGACAATTTCGACTACTCCATTCATTCAACTGAAACATTTTCTCAAAAGTAAGGTAAAAGAATAACCTTACTTAAAGCTAACATTTAAAAAATGTTTGTTCCAAATTGGTATTGGCTGCTTTTTCAAAAGGAAATCAGAACAGACCCCATATCACATTTTATTTCCTCACAAATTTGCATATATCCCGAGCAGGTTGGCTTTTTTTTCACTCTTGTCTGCCAACTATCTCTCACCCGTGCAATGTGATTCTTGAACTTTTAATCCTCATCCAAGAGAACCCTAGGACCGAGGTGTGAAAAAAAATTGAAAAAAGGATAATCAACCTATTCCATAAAATACCTTGTCATAGTCTTTTGTCTTTTGTGTCTCTGAAGTGAGAGAGTGGAAAACATCTCGATTGATAGGCTGTCGGAGGCATGAACTCATGGACAAATGTTGCAGGTAGCTGGTGACCAAAAGAAAAGTAAAGTGAACGAATACAATAACGGTTGGCTTATACGTCTCTATATGCTATGAACTTCTCTAAATAAAAGTCAAATAGAAACACAAGTCACAAAACATCATTTCATAAATGAACAGAACTTTTTATTTCAATATTTCAACAACTTCCTGAAATTCAGTAGGGTGGCCAGGCTTGAGGATGTTAAAGGAGCTTTAATTTCTTTTCATTAGCATAGTATTTGCTGTCATTATTGATTTTTGTTTAGCAGTGTTTGACTATTGTTTACAAATAACTCTGTTAGACTCATACTGGGATATATGGCCCAGTTATTCTGAATTAACAAGCAAAAGTAAATACCGGTAAAAGTATATATCAGGAGACATATTAACCCTATCCCTACGCCCTGGAGCCATTTTGTACCTCCGGGGTTGAACTTTTCACATTTTAGAATATTTCCAGTGCGAAGACCTCTTTTCAGTATTTCTCAAAAAATCATTTTGACAGACTGCTATGCAAAGCGTACGGGTCGGATTAACGAGTTATTTTCCTATTTGAAAGCGGTGGCACAGTCATGGGCACGTCGTCCCACTTCGTATGGATACGATAGTTAAATATGACGTACGGATAGGATTAAGAGTTCAAATAGCATAGCCAAAAGTCAATAAATTTTAAGTAGAACTGAGAACAAAAGCGACTGGCATGACGGCATCAATTGAGTTTTGACATTCAAGCTTAATCCAGCAAAAAGAAATAGCCTTTAAAAAATTACTTCAGCAAAAACTTACATATAACACTTACAACAGAGAGCTGATAAACAAACCTGCAAATTTCATCCTAATGATGAAGGGTTTACAATGAGCTTTTAATTCACTAAAAAAGACATCAAACAATTTTATCCCAGTTTTGCAAACTATACTCACTCAAATAACTCTGGAGTGGTGCATGCAACTTTTTTCAAAGGAGTAACTGCACCCTTTGATACAGAATCCAGTTTGTGTTGTAAAAATGAATGTCTGAAACAACAGGGTGGACAGTAAAAAGCAGATAAAAAAGTGGCTGAAATTATCATAAAACACTATAAATCAGTACTAAAATTTTTTTACAATTTTTCACTGGGGATCGGGACTGGCATTAATCAGAGGCTGAAAGCAGCAAATTTATCAGAGCAATGAAAAAAAATTTATGGTGTGTAGTCTTACAATCTTTTTTCCATATACATAGGCTAGTAGTTGTTATGAGCTTAAACTGATTATGAATACAAAATGATAAAAACAACTACTGAATTTTGCCCAATGAAGTTCAATCAAATACAAAGCAGGAGAAGTAACAATTGCATATTTACCAGACTTTATCACAGATCAAAAGAATTTTTTAAGTCAACAGTTTACAGTTCAGGGTTGAAGTCATAATCGGTCATCTACAAATAAGTTCTTGATCCTCGGCCAAAGGGTCTGGCCTTACTTACACAGGCCAAAGTTCACCGTCCAGACATTCTGGTCTCTCCACCTCTGGCACCTGAGAGTTATCCTTCCACTGAGGTAACACCTAGATAAATATATTTGGAAGAAATTGAACTGTACTGTTGAAACTGGTGATGATCTCATGATTAAGTCAAAACGTGTACTGAGTATACATTCAGAAAAACAGAAAAGCAAAAATAAAAAGTCCTAAACAATCCTCTCCCACCAAGTTTTGCCCTAGTTTTACATAATGAAGAGTGTTGACTTGGGTATAAACCCCCTACCATACCATATATCTTGAAGACGGAAAGGAAATAATATTTTCTGATGGCATGCTATATTGAGAATTGCAATTAAAGTTGAAACAGGAAAAAGTTAAAAGAATAGATGGGAAAGGAATGAAGAATACACAAACAATCTGTTCATATGGCAGCTTAGCTCTTAACATGGTTATAGTAAAATCTAGAAAAAAGGACTGAAATGTAAGTTGTCTCAAACAAGTCTGATGAAGTCGAACGGGTAAAGACAGACAAAAACAGGCTGGAATTATTGTTGCTATTATAAAAATTCTGCTTTGAGTCAAAAGTGAACCCTCCACTGAAGGGGTTCTACCATGCAGAAGTAGATATCATTTGACCTGACAGAGGTATGAAATTATGCGACTCACACTGCCATAGAGCTGTGTATGAGCCTTGCTGTGAGGGCTGACCGCCAACAAAATCTGACACTGTCCCATTTGGTCAAAGTCCATGAGTAAATGTGGCGGCAACTGTTCCCTCAAGGTGGCATTTGGCCGGAGCACAATGGACAACAGGGCTACCTGGGTCATTGAATTCTGGGAATATTCACAAAAAGGTAAAAGTTCATGACATATGAATGCGTGGTATATTCTTATGCATAAGTTTCTAAAAGTCCAAAATGCAGAAGAAAAATACTGTAGGGCCTAAAGCACTTAAAACTGTAAACTATACAACATTTTTTGCTTTTGAAAAGTTATAACTTAAATCAATGCAAAGGAAATTATTTAAATATGCAAAAGTCTTACAATATTCTTGTCGAGGTTCATAATGATTTATGATCATCTACACACTTTGCTCATATACATCAACAGCCTATAGCTCTGTGATTGCTACATGACATACCCCATCATACATAGAGACTGACTTCATCTGAGACCCATGAATCATGAAGGAACCATAAGAGTGACTCTCCACAGACAGTCCGTGTTCCCAAACTGTCAAAACAACTGTGGAAGAAGTGTAAGAGCAGGATTATTAATTAATATATATATATATATATATATGAGTTCTACCCTTAGAAATTCTGCATCATCTTAGAAGTTTTAAAAGAATACTGAGGCAGGAAAAGAGTAGCAAACACATGGGGCATGCATTACAACTGAGTACGGGAGTACGGGTGGTCACATAACCACTTCATGACGAATGGTCAGTTTGTGCTTGACTGGGCAGTTTTGGATTCTCAGGGACAAAGAGAAGCGCAAGATTTCCTATAATTAGATAATTAGACCCGGCTTGAAAATACAACTAGCTATCAGTAAAAGGAAAACATTTTTTAGTCCGAAAAAAAAAAATCACTGAATGTGAATCTGCAATAAGTTTTATGGAGTGCACCCAATAGAAGCAGTAAGTAGAATACAAACTATGACAAACAGCGTTCGTCGGAATGATTTCCCATGCTTTGCAAGGCATGACGAACACAGCACTTCATAGCACCAGCTTACTTGCTTCACAGTATTAGAAAAGGATAAATGGTGTATGTCATACAGGTCACGAAGGTGTAAAGCAAAAGACAAGAATTACAGACAGTGTCAACCTCGATTTTACACTGGATATTCTTGACCACAAAACTAAAGATTTTAAGTTCCAGAACAAGCAAATCTTAAAACACATGTCAACTAAAATAAACACACAAGCAAAACTTCAGTTCAAAAAGTTCATTGGGGCTGAAGAAAGAAAAAAAATGTTCATGGAATTTCATTCTCGTTATTCCTTTTTCCTCACTAGCTCCCATGGGTAATTGATTCTGGTTTTTTCCTTCCCACAGTGCAAGTGATTAAATTAAATTTACATGCAGCTGTTCTTTTGCAAAAAAGTGCAATCTCTCCTGTCTTTTAAACAGCCATTGGAAGTTTTTCCATGTTTTCTTACCTATTTGTATTGATCAAAATATCAACAGTCTCATGCAGGTTATTTTTTTCAAGTTTATGTAGGCAGACCTAGGCTTCCTTCATTACGAAGTGACAAAGTACTTCTTTCACTCATAAGCTATTTTCAGTCGACTCACAAAAAGCGCACTTTCAATGGCTTTTTTTTTGTCTTAAGAGAATGTAATATACCACTCAGGTAGACTCACTAAAAAAACGCAATTACGGACATGAATGTGACAAAAGATATTAGAGTTATACTGAAAAATACAGTGGGCACAGTAAAAAAAGTAGACACGACACCTTTCTCAGGCGGAAGAAGAGCAGGCCAAGTGGTAGCCATCTCTATGTCATCGTGGGTCATCAAGTGTTCGCCCCAGTGGTCAAACGGAAGTGCTGGCGCTGATACAGACCGCTTCTTGCTGTGTCCACGGGCCTGTGGGATACAGACCAGACTCAGTACATTTTGTCAAATTTCTCTCAGACTAGAGAATAATAAGAAAACGATAAGAAAATAATAGATAAGTTGAGAAAGAAAAGACAAGATAAAATTATTTATCCCTCATAAGACTAAATTAACAAATGCAATATTACCTTGTAATAATTTTGCTTATATAATAGTAATTAGTCAATTCTAAAGAATGAGACTGGCTAATACAGTGCATTCAAAGGAACCAGAGAAGTTAAGTACAGACAATGCAAAAAGTACAAGAAATATTGAACTGAGCCTTGGATCATTTGTAAAACAAAACAAGGCCAAGAATACCAGTCTGTTCAAACACTAGTTTTGACATGCAGGCATAAGGAGAAGTGAAGCATCGCATTACAAAAGGAAAACAAAGGGATTCATCAAGATGAATGTTAAGTCATTTAAGATTTCAGTTCCTCCAAGACCTTAAGATAGTAGCATAATGTTTATATGCGAGAGCATGGGGTGACCTTGGGCCATAGAAGAACACATGTAGACAAAACAAGTTTTAGTTTTATTGAACAACCAGCAACTACTGGAAATAGTGCATTTTGTTGACTTGCAAACTTTTATGATGTTCACCTTACTATGTTCACATGCCCATGGCAGTATAGGAGTAGATCTATGAGTCTTTTCGAAAAGATACTTCTTTTTTTTTGCACCTACACTATAATTTAAATCAGATTCTTGATTTGAATGGGTCAATCTTTTTGGGAAAATTCCAAGGAAATAAAATCTATTTTTTTCTTCATTTTTGGATAATTTTCACCCTGACTCTACATTAAGACACTTAATGACGGTGACTTTCTTAGGTCTCTTAAAAAACAAATCACAGGTGTAAAAGCCAGTTTTGAGCTATTCGGTATCTAATACATGTACATGTAGTAGCATCAACATATAAGCAATGTGCTTATAAAAGCTTACAAGTAGCTGGACTAATTTGAGGAAAGCTACACTTTCCTTTCAAATTATTTCTGTTAAAATTAAAGAAATAAAAACCCATGCTCCTGATCCATGCTGTTTTGTTAAGTATAGCTGTTTAGCCAACACACAGACTTACGCTCCATAAGTGAAAACGTGGGACACAAGAAGTCACAATCAAGAAGTCTGAGCTAACGTCTGGGCACTCTGACAGAGAAATTTCATGAACAATGAAAACAGAATGATTAAAGTGCATGCTTGATTACATCAAGAAAAATTCGGCATACATCACTGCAAGTTCAAAACAGGCCATACTACAGTGTAACTGGTCGCTTTTAAGGACAAGCGGGCTAACCCAGATTTCGGGGATTTCCAGAAATCTTGACCTACACCAAAAGTGGGCATTGCCTTACCTGTAGGAGAAGTTTGGTTTCATTGGTGAGTATATTTTTTTGGTTATAGAGAAAACTTTCCTTGTCTTTTAAAAAGACTGAACAAGGGGCAAAAACTTTACCTTCGATTTTCTCAAAACAGCATTTTTCGGGATAGCCCCCTTGTACTTAAAAGCGACCAATTGTAAATCAGAAGTAAACCCAAGAGTAGAGAATGGAATAACCAAGAGACCTAGAAAAGAAATTTTACTGTTATACCAAAATCTTTTAAAATTTCAATTTTGCATTTTCATTTACAAGAGCAAAAACAGTAGGCTTTTATAATATTATGTACAGTAACAATCAAATGCAAACATATATTACAGTTAGTAGAAACAAGAATCTCCATTCAAAGCAAACATGCGCAACAGGTTGTCATCATAATAAATTTATCCCACCTCTCACAAACAGTCTTGAATCTAGGAAACTCTCTGCAAACATGAGCGTCTTTTCCCCCCCAGAACAGCCGGGTGGTGGCGGGATGCGATGGAGAGTCAGGCAAATGTACTTCATCACAGGGATGTACTCGCCTTCTTCCACAACCTCACCACTGTATAACAGACAAGGAAGTAAGTGCTAGACTATAGATCACAAGTTTTCTGAGGAACATCCTAACTGGGAAGGGTAGAAGCCCTAGGGAAGAGTGGGGGGTGCGGGTTAGGAGTAAAAGATCTCAACTTCAGAAATGGATTCTTCAAACTCTTGTCTGTCACACAAAAGTCTGGTACCCTTCCAACTAAGCATGCAAGCAGCAATTGTATGCATGGTGATATTCATAATCAAGCAAAAGCAGTTGAGAATTGAGTTGAGAAGAGCTTTCAATATAATCACTGCAACTGTAGGGTTATAAGAAGATCAAATGGTATTACTATCAGCGCTGAGAGCTTATAAGGATAAGACAGAGAGAAATAATGAAAGAAAGAGAGAGAGTGAGAGAGAGAGAGAGAGAGAGAGAGAGAGAGAGAGAGAGAGAGAGAGAGAGAGAGAGAGAGAGAGAGAGAGAAGTAAATATGACCTGAAATGGGTTACTATTCTTGTCAATTAAGACCAATAATGGAAAAGAAAGTCTGCAACAAACAACTGAAAAGAATCATTAGCTACCATGCAAAAAAACACATTCACGAATTTGCTTTTTACTAAACTATTCACTTGACACACTGCAAGAGCTAAAAAAAACATGTGTGTACAGTGAAAAATTTAAGCGTTTTTATTAGAGTTTTGACATTAAATTGTTTTTGATAATTGAGAGAGCAAAATGTCTTCTTACTTGAAGGCTATGTAGAAAAAATCAGTGAAAAGTTGGAACGCTACAAGTTATGGATTTCAAAATCATGGTGCTGCAATGACAAAACATTTTCAGTTGTCACAGAACCATACTACATAAGATCAGCTAGCAAAAATCTTCATTTTAAAAGAATCGTTATAATTATTGCTCCACCCACCTGTTGTCACATCCAATTATTTCCAGAGTGAAATCCACATCAGAGCTGAAACAAAATTGATTGTAAAACAGTTGCCTGCTTTTAGAAGATTCTATGGAAAAGATATGGCAGTAATTATACTTCTCATATTTCAAAGCATAGAATTAGAAATCCTACCATTTTTTTCTGAGCTAATCTAATAACACATCGACCTATAACAATCTCCAAATCTTCAATATCTATTTATCTATCTGTCTGTCTTCCTATTCACCCACACATGTAACCATAGATTCACCCATTTATTCACTAGCCCATCAATCTATAAATCCAACTACACTGAACAATTGTGCAGATGGAAATGTAGAACAGAAAATGTTATGAAGACTAGGTCAAATCAGAAACTAGTAAAGGTTCATCATCATAATAATTTTGATCTCCACCATCTTTTTTCAGATCTACGGCTTGGAATAAAGACAATACAGTACACTGATAGGGCAACCCACATTTTAACTCTTTGATTCCGGGTGCCACCTAAGTGGCTTTTTCGAGTACCGATTTTGTCATCCCCAAACCTACACCTGGTCCTGTGCTACAATTATTGCCTATTATCACACATATCATTGTGATTCTCAGTCCAACTATAAACAGTCTGAGTGCAAACACAAACAAATTTATCAATATTTGAAGGAAGTAAAGCCATTTTAAGGGAACACTTAAAGTGGGTGCATTAAATTGGGGAATTCCTTAGGCCTACATACTGAAAAAGTTAAGTGCTGGGAAAGAGCAAGACAGACATGAACAACAGAGGGAAAGAAACAAAGTTGGACCTATCAGGCATGGCACCTTGACTCCAACCACCCAGCTAAGACCGGGAGATGATGCTATCATTTACAATTTAAGGACCATACCTGTCCTTGAGGTAGGACCTGAGCTCCGGGGTATCCACCTGAGAACATCCCTCGGTCAGATCCTCCATGCAGGTCTGTCGTGCCTGGAGAGCGAGGTGGAGTGATGTTGGAGAAAAATAATATATGTGAGGCATCATGGTGAAATCAGGCGCTCGTCAAAATAATGAAATCTAAGCAACTGGCATCTTTCTGGCATTGGGCAATATCTTTCTAATTTTTTAAATATTTTTTTTTTGG